CCCCTCCCTCCCTCGCTCGCTGCTTCCCTCGCTCGCTCCCTCCCCGCCTCCTCCCGCAGCCCCACCACGTAGGAGTTCGGATTCTCCACCCGAATCGTCCTGATTTCCCTTTGCCTCTCTTTTGGAAACGAGAGAGGTGGAGGGAGGCCACCAGGCTGCAAAGGAGAGAGAGGCCCGCCAAGTCTGCCCGCCTGCAAAGTGTTGCTTTGACACATCCTCATTATGGAAGTTAAGTAAAAATAGATACATATTAAAAAATAACTCCGGACGTGGATTGCTACGGAGAAGGAATCCGGGGGACAGAAAACCAGTAGGCAGGCCCATGGTTTTTCGGCAGCGTGCTGGCAAGTTTGTGGAACACTTTCTAGGAATTAGGTCTTTTCCTCCCCCTTCATCATCTTGACTTCTGAAGAAAGAACTTGGCTTTGGATTGCAGTGGAGCCTAAGGAGAGAGGGTTAGACACACTTGAATCATCCCTCTGGCTGGGCTGCGTTTGCGGGAATTTAGGAAGCCAGACAGAGTGTTGGAAATACAGCAGCCTTCGAAGTGCCCTCTGTTAATTTGGATGGATCTAAACGTGCCCCGTTCAAGACCTCTCCACCGGCCCCTTCTGATCTTGCGATTTGCTCTTCTTGACTTTAATTAGTATCTAGGAAAGTCTAAACTTTGGACCTACCTCTTTTTTTGATACTTATTTTTGTACTTTTGCTCTCTGGGATTGGTTTCTTAAACAACCTGGATCCTTTTTAATATGTCAAAATGAGTCTGCTGATGTTTACACAACTAATGCTCTGTGGATTTTTATATGTTCGGGTTGATGGTAAGTTAAAAATGCTTTTATCTTTTTTTTTGCGCCCCCCCACCCCCCAATCCCCCAAAACCATTCCTTTTAGAATTTGATGTGGGTTATAGATGAAATGACAGTATGTCTGTCTGTCCGTTTTGGCCAGGCACGGGCTCCTTGGGGGCAGAGATTTTCTTTAAGTCTTTTGTTTCTAAACTGCTGCAAGTGGAACATGTTGGTAGTCACCTATTGTTGTTCTTGTTGTTGTAATTTACTTAATTAATTAAGGAGTTGGGTAATAAATGAGGCTTTCCCAGTTTTCTTAGGAAAAGAAATATTACAGTACATCTCCTGAAAGAGCCTAATGCTATTGTGCCTGCTCTCTGATGTTTGCTCTTGTGTCTGAACTTTGGCTTAGACATTCAAGTGAAGAAATACAGTCACAGACACTCAAAGGAAGGTTCAATGGGTTAGGAATTGGAGACTGAGATCAGTGTGTATCACCTGTGTTCCAGTGAATGCTCTCCTGGCGTTAAATCAGAAGGAAGAATTTAGATCCTAGGGAGAAAACTGTCAAAAGTAAGACTGGGCGAGGCTCCACGAACGAACGAGGAAGCATCAGCTATGGGCTGGCCACAGGAGTGGGACACTTAGCTCAGTCCGCAGTGGCAAACACAACGGGGGCCTTAAACAGGTGCTGTAGGTGTCTCCCTCTAGGTTGAGTCAGTCTGTCAAGCCCACAGCATTCTGCCTCTGATTCCCTTGTCTTTTGTTCCGATTTGGCTTACTGGGATATTTTCACAGGATGTCAATTTCTTGTGCGACTATTGCAAAATCCTTTTTTGTGGCTCTTTTGAATGAAGAGTGGAAATAATCGTTAACATGCTTTTTGGTTTGTATTCAAAAGAAAAAGTTCAAAGAATATTTGCTATTAACCTTCTAGAGGCTTTAATTTTTATATCGATGGAAAGAATTGGTATAGAGGAATACTAGATATTTTTTTTTTCCTAACTGGATTGCAGTACTTTAGGTTTTTAATTACTTACTGTACTTGTAAAGAACCTAAAGTGTATTAGTCCAACTGTTCGAGCCATCACAATAGCTTGATGCCACATAAACTTTCCTCCAGCATTTGCATTGTGGATGAATTCATTATTTGGGACACTGCCTATTTTTGCCCATCTGTGGTAGCTAACTTTGTTCCTGGCAGCTAACTGCTGCGTAGACCCCAATGTATTGGACTCAAAAAGGAAGGCTTTCTATAAACATGAGGCAATACAGATGAGTTTACCTACTGTCAAGTGGCTGTTTTCAATCATGGACTACATGAGTACCTTTGCCCCCCAGCGATAGTAGGGGAGGGATGCATGTGTGTGCACTGCTTCTCTCTTTTCCCAGTCTAAGCCGTAGACGTTCAGGGTTTAATTATTGTGAATTATACTATGGCAACATCTGTAATCATTTTTCATGTATTTTCAGTACATTAAAATACATGTACATTACCAAAACAAAATAGGTTTACCTGTTTGTCCCAGGTGTGTTTGATTTTCATGATAAGAAGACTTTGGTATAACTTTTTAAAGAATATGTCCTCATAAATCATGAATTTACATATCTCCATAACAGAAATGCATGTATAAACTATACATTAGACTACAGAATTATCATCAAGGGTTTTTTTATATATGTATTTTTAAATCAGTGTGTTGCTAGGAGGAATACAATTAAATTGCTCAGTGGAAGTGACAGAGGAAATCAAAAGAGCTTGGTGTTACAGAATGTAATTAATATACCAGGGTGTTTGGAGATATATGAAACAAATGCAATTAACCAGCTTGCTGGAACAGCAGTAGCAAGTCATCATTTCTGTCTGCTTTCCCTCCCTCCCTCCTTTCATTTCTCCCTCCCTTCTTTCTCTCTCTTTTATTCCTCTCTCCCTTCTTTCCTTCCTTCTCTCCTTCCTTCTCTCCCACACCACCCTTCTCCTGCCCCCAAAGACAACCTAGAACCTTTGTTCTGATTTAACATTATAGGATAAGGGGGCAGTTTCTGTCTGGGCCACAGTTATGCAGCAGAATTCATAGTAATGTAGTGAAAAATGCCAAAATTGAGGAATTGAGACTGAAAAGGCAATGTTAAATTTTTTGTGTGTGAAACTAGTTTTGTATTTAGCATCTGCTGTGTCAATAGCAAAGGAAACCCTGGACACTCTTACTAAATTAGTATGTAAATCATACGTTTGACATTGGATTGCCTTTGGATACTTCAGAATGACAGTTTCTCCATGGGGATGGTTGAAAATTTGGGATGTGGACAACACTGCCCTCTAGGCTGTTTCAACACTGTGAGACTCAGTGTTCACGTATATAGTGAAGAGGCTGGTTTGTAGGATCTCTCAGCTTTGTCACTCTTCCAGGATTCTATGATTTCTATTCACTTATTCTTCTTAGAGGTGTGTGCTTAGTCTCCACATGAATTTCAAATGTAGAGAAGCTTGTACCATTTCAAAGATATACTGATCCTCCTTGTGCTAGACACAGATATTAATTTTATTCAGTGACAAATGATACATAGATTTGCATTGATATTTGCTTGGTGGGTTATTTGTATGTGCATTTTTATAGTATATGAAAAATGTTAGAGTTTTGCCACCTCATAGAAGCTATGTGCTAATATTGTTTATAATTTTTCACAGTATCGTGTCCCTGTAGCAATCCATAGAGAGCAAATATTAAGTTGGTTGAGAACTGTAGATAAACTTTTCTATTTGGGATGTAAATAATGGTTTTCTTATTGATGCAGATTAATCACATCTAGACTTTTCTGTATGATCATATAGGAGAATGTATGTTAAGGTTAGCCTTTATTTTCCAGCTTTTCTTTATTTTTGAATAAGAATAGGGTTTTGCAGTCATTCATGGGGAATTAATATGAACTATGGCAAGACTTTTAACTTACATCTATATCCCATATATTGTATCAATCTGATAGTTTTACAATACTTGTGGAAAGGTGTTTTAAAATGAGAATGTTTTTTTCATCTTTACCCTTTATTCTTAAGTGAAAGTGGCCTACATGATATTAGGGGAGATAAATATAATAAAGATAATGTATGTGCATAATGCAGATGTATAATCTCATAGAGGTTTATACATGTTGCTAAAGTGCTTTTTTTCAGTAATGGGCTTATTATCATAGCCATATGTAGTCTATTTCAGAACGTCAGTTGTGTGCAAGTCACCTGGAATGTGTTCTCGAAGCTATGCCGTGGTGCCACTTGGATTGGCTTTGTTTGAATAACCTTTCATGCTATGCAACATGTGGGCCACAAACCAAAAGGATTTCTTAGAACATTAAGCAAGAATATCATTAAAAAAAAAAAAAAAGTAATGATTATATAAAAAGAGCAGTTCTGGCCTTCTCACCACTGAGCAGCTTGTATAAAATAGCATGTTTGACAATCAAAATATAGGCATGTAAGCACATTGTATAAATTGGGATGCATATATAGCAACGAAGGGAGCTGACGTAGGTGGGATATGTGTGTGTGCCTAGTAATATCTGCTGAAATAGTTCCGGCGGTCTCCAGGAGGTACATTTACTTCCCATGTGCAATTTGTTTTCGAAGAGTATCAGAAAAAAAGATTATCATCTTATTTACTATTTCTCCGTTTCCTCCTTTTTTCCCTCCTTCTCCTCTCCTTCTCTTTCTTCTTCTCATTCATCGTTTCTTTCCTTATCTTCTTATTCTCTTCCTCTTTTTTTCTTTTTTGGATCTAATGAAAGGAATTAGAGAAACATTTGAAGAGTGAAGAAGATACGTGAGCGTGTTTCTTGAGTGATAATTTAGAAAATCTGTATTTAAAGGAAAAATGAGAATAATATTTTACCTTTAGGTATATCCAATTGGGGTTTTGACTTTCTCACTTTTCCCCCACAATACTATATATAACTTTATGCAAAATGCATTGCATAGATCCTATCATTTTCTAGTTTAGATAAGTAAAAGTTTTCAGATCTGAGTTTAAGCAAACAGTGATTTATGAAGTGCCATTTTACAGATTTATTTCTAAAGAAAAGTGTTGCTGTGTTTCTTACAGTGTCTCCAGGTATAGATCTGTCAACCTAAATCAATACATCGGTGTGGATACTGCTTTTCTTCTTCTTTTGAAAAAATACTATATAAAGAATGAAGGAATGATTATAAACTCTTTTTTAAAAATAAATACTCATCAACTCTATTAATGTTTTAGCAGTGTGTTATACAATGATAGAAGCATAATATAGCAACTAGGGTAGCATGCTTACCCAAAATACCTGACTCAAAACAGTGTGGGAGTAATGGAGGCCTCCATCCTTAATGTTTTCTCCGCCATTTGCAGCTAGTCCTTAGGATCTTTCATCTATCACATGAGTTTTAAATACATGTTTGGTTTGATAATCTAAAATTGCCCTAATCACTGCATGGAGGGATATAAGATCCATAAGCACATAACTTGGCCGTTTCATATTCTGTTGTATCTCCAGTGCTTGCATCAGTGCTTGACATACTCACCTGACTACTCGACGGCTTTGCTTCATGTCCAATGAGAATACACAAAACTCAAGGCTAAGACAGAATCTTCTCTTTCTAGCCATTCCCATCGCAGTAAATGGCTTCCACCAGTCATAGACTTTTTCGTGACCCCCAATGAGGAAACATTCTTCACTTGTTCTCACAACTTGTATTCAACTTGTTCTCAGAATTGTACAACCGTCACTACAATCTAACTTTAAAATGTTTTTAATTACCCAAGAAAGAAACTATGTACCTTGTTCCACCATCTCTCTACCAACCACAAGAAACCACCCCTTTACTTCTATCTCTATGGATTTGTCTTTTCTGTACATTTTATATAAATGCAATCATACCATATATGATGTTATTTTGTGACTAGCTTTTTTCCTTTAGCATAATGTTTTCAAGGGTCATCCATGTCATAGCATGTATCAGTACCTCTTTCCTTTTTATTGCCAAATAATATTCCGTATCATTT